CAAAAATAACTCAGTCTTAACATGAAAAATTGCAGGATGGCAAACACCAGAGTCAGGAAGATTTATAACTAATGGACTGGTAACCCTACAAGAAGTAGGCAGACTTAAGAGGAACTGGATGCGAGGGAAAAGAGAGGAAGAGGAATCTGGAATCATTTGCCCTGGGTTGGCAGGTGGAAGATAGCGGTGCACGGGAGAAAAGCAGGTTGTGATGATGACATGGGGTGGAGATGATTCTAGGATACCCACGATGAAATATAAACAGGCACTAAAAATATGGCCCTGAAGCTCAGGAAAATAAGTCTGGACTAAAACCATAGGAATCAATATAAGAGTGGTAATTCCCATATTTGAACAAGATAAGCCAGCTTATATGATTAAATCCCTAGCAAGAAAGTTTTAAACTTACTGTAGTAAGTTAAAAGCCCAGAACAATTATTTGCTCCCCACCTATTTCTTAATCTAAACCTGGAGAGTATCTCTTAGCTGCCTGGGCTGCTTTAACAGTTGCCATTGAAACTGTCTTTAATGAGTATAAATTCTTAGGACATCCAAGGCTGAATTAATACAAACCCAAGTTTCTCGTATGCTGTACATTTAGCAATGCCTGAAGTGTCAATACAACACATATAGTTATCACCACACTGGCCCGTCTTTCACAAAGTTTAGAATTTTCATCCATGCAGAATCAAGCAAAATCACCAAGCAAAAGTACAGTCCAGACCTATGCTACTGCTGACTGCTAAAGACCATGGCATAGATTTTGAGTCATCTTGGAGAAGGAGAGTAGAAAGAAAACATATGAAAAAAGGAGAAAATGTGGATTTCATCTTTTTGTTGTTGCATTTTAGGTTTGGGGGTACATGTGAAGAACATGCAAGATTGTTGCATAGGTACACACATGGCAGTGTGGTTTGCTGCCTTCCTCCCCATCGCCTGTATCTGGCATTTCTCCCCATGCTATCTCTCCCCAACTCCCCACCGCCCCGAGGATTTCATCTTAAGACTGATTATAAATGCCATAATGAGGGAAACGAGAGAAGGGAAGCTCTTAGGTAGATAGCTAGGATAGGTCCTCCATAGCATTCCTTTTGTCTAACGAAGGAACAGCCTGAAAGATCAGGCTGCAAGCATAGACAAGGAGGAAAGGTCCACCATGATGATGCCTTCTGTGTAATTAGCAAGGGTCTCATACACACTGTAGGCTTCAGTGAGCACATTCCTTTCCTTTTTTGAACATATTCAGATAAGGGAGTTTGCACAGGGGACAGGGGAGGGGGTCTGCTTGAACCATGCCCAAGAGGAGTAACACAGGACCTGGCACATCCGCAATGGAGAATTCCGCCCCCTTACACATGCACAGTAAGGGAAACTAAGTAACCGAGTAACTTAGGCCACAAGTCCACGTGTGCACTGAAAGGAGGAACTGTCAGGAATTTGTGCCTTGTGCAAATGAAACGCCTAGTCTAACCATTTTTTCACACCTTATGTAAATGAAATATCTTGGCTTGCTAGCCTGTTTATAAAAGCCCTCGTATTCAACTGTAGAATGGCAACCCTCTTTCAGGCCCCTGCTCCTCTTGTGGAGAGCTTTCTCCTTTCACTTATTAAACATTTGCTTCATCTTCACCTAGTGTTCATGCTCCTTAATTTTCTTGGTAGTAGGACAAAGAAATGTGGGTCCTACCTATAAACAACAAAACTAAAACATTGCGATGCATTGGCAAGGCTGCTACAATAACATGTATTGCCTTATGAGTCCAGATACGTGAGCACCACTGGGTTCCCTAGGGAAGAAGGGAGGTCAGGGCAGATTGGGACAAACAGTTGTCCTGTATATTGACCCATAGCAAGTCACTGTTGACCTTACTGAAAACAGTTTCAAGAGGAGATAATATTGGAAGACAAATTATAATGATTGTGAAGAGAATGAGAAGTGAGGAAGCAGTTGGTTAGTGTAGCAGGATCTTTCACACACCAAAAAAATAAAATAAAATAAATACTTGAAATAAGAGCTCAAGGAGAGAGGGGGCTAATAACTAGATGGTTGCAGAGGATCAAGAGAGGGTTTTTTTTTAATTTTGTTTTTTGCCCTTTCTTTTTTTTATGATGTGAAGAGATTTAAGGATGCTTCACAGTGAAAAGAAGAAATCAAGAAAGAGGAAGCAAGAGAAAGTACAAAAGCAAACAGCAAGGTCCTAGGGGAGATGAGGAATGGAATTAGGAGCATCTTCTGAAACTAATGGGAAAGATCTGAATCCATCAGAACTTCTCAGGTGCAAGTGTCAGAAACCCAACTCTAACGGGGCAGAAAAGAGAAGTTATGATTTCTTCTAAAGGTTGAAGCCAGCTTCAGGTTAAGCTCAAATGATATCAACGGGTCTCTCTCTCCGCAGTCTCTCGTGCTCTCCACTAGGTTGGAGGGCTAGCTGTTTCCAAGAGATGCCAAAGATGGCCAGCAGCAACTGCAGGCTCACATTCTATCAGTTTAGGAACTCCAATAGGCCAACCACTTCTCTTTCTAATAGTCCAGGTTTGGTTGCGTCTAGTAGCATACCCACCCTCATCATCCCCACTGAAACCACTTAAACTCAAACTGGAGATGAAGAGAACCCCAGAAGGAAATCAACATGCATCCATCAGAAGAAGGTACATGGATGCTAAGCAAGCAGAAGCAGCAGGTAGAAGGAGGGTAGCAGAAGCAGAGAAAGTGAGATGGAGTGGTCTTATAAGTGGGAGTCAACCCGGAGAGGTGAGCAAGCAGGGAAGAACCCAGCAGTGAACGACAGAGTGGAAGGTGCCTTTATAAAATAATTTTTATTGCACTGAGACTCGGTCTTGCTCATCTTTTTTTTTTAAAGAAAGCAATTTCCTTATAAAGGAGAGTTTATTACTAATTTCCTTTTATATTTCAGACTCAGATGAGGAATAAGAGAGACTTTTTTTAAAAAGCACCTAGTCTCAAATTTCCTCTGCCCAGAATTGACTCCTTTAAACGTGAGGTTGAATTTAATGATCCCCTCAGAAGACGTTCCAGTTTCCATCTTCCTCTGATTATACAAGCAATGATTCTTCATCTTCCCATTTCTAATCTCTCTATTCATTCTCCCTCTCTTAAACCCAAAGAACACCAAGATCCTCCAAAACAAACTATTTCCGTATGCCTGAGTTTCTGGATCCAGTTGATGCAAATTGTTGGTCATTCCAATGCCCGTGCGCTATACTAAGAATTCTCTGCCTTGGACAGCTCCACTGTCAAGAATAGTTTAATACAAAGATGCTCCTTGACTTGTGATGGGGTTACATCCAGATAAACCCATCATAAAGTTGAAAAATCATAAGTCAAACCATTGTAAGTCAGAGACCGTCCGTAATTCGTATTAAAGATGGACTGCCATCAGTGGGAGGAAACATGTTGTCTCTGATGTGCCCAATCTAATATTCTGCAGCTCATAATGAGACAGGCCCACCACACCATGTCCAGGCCTAGCCTCCTCCCTGCAGGTTGAGCAAGCCCATTTAAGTCATGTCTTCTGATCTGGACTATTTATAAGGGGTCTCTTTAAAGCTCTTGGCCTTTCCACAGTTCAAATCCTTGAAAAAACTTTTTCAGAATCCATGAAGGCATGTGTGACTAGTGCCGGTTAGATTTGAACATTAGACCTTTCACTTATTAATCAAAGATCTATATTTGTTATACAATTTTAACTGGTATGCAGCTTTAAATGTTCATGTTATCAACTGATATGAGAACCCAAAAACCTAGATTAATATATGGAGACCATGTAAATATCAACTTCAGATATTAAAGTAAAAATAATGCAGGTTCTGACTTCTGCATGTAAATACACATCTATTCCCTCCCCATTGTACTAATCCAGCTACAGGACCCCACCACCACCATCGCCACCCTCCTCCACCCACCCCACGCACTGTCAGCTTACAGACGTTTACCATATGCCTAGCTGAATTTAACTGGTGGCTGTAGAATATAACGAAGGCAACTGGCCCCACCGACAACTGATTTTCACCTTGGTGGGGGCAGTGTGAATGAAACGGAATGGACAAATACAGGATATATCATCTTTTTGAGAGCAAGTCTACAAGGCACTAGGTCTGTCTCACTTCAATCGTCTGTTGCAACCACATTCTCAGGAAAGAGTATCTAAGGAAGGAAAAGAAAATAAACAGCTGCTTACCAAGCACATTTACCAGAAAACAGTGTTTCAATATTGATGAAGGTTTAGATTCGAATTTAGGATAATTCTACTCTCTCAAATCCCTTTGCACTTTCTCCCATTCCTAAAACCTTTCATAATAATATTAGTTTTTCATTATATTAAAAGTCAAAACAGCACCAGTTGCTTTTGGTATAAATGCTGAAAAGCATCTCCTGTTACTTGAAGGACTATGAAGGATTTAGACTTCCACATGTAAAATGATCGTGGCCTCTTTTCTAGGCTTTGTAAACTGACTTTTGGGGGTATAACTTTCATAGGTCAATTGGCCCACCAGAGTAATTAATTAAAGAGAATATAGTTCCTAGACTTCTGAGTTTTGGTGGAGTTTTATCCAGTGCATTTGAATGACTAGGATAAACCACTGCATTGAAGATTCCACGTGCTCCTTATTCCCCACCTCCATGCCAGCCCTGCTTCTAGCTTTGGAAGTAGGTGTCTCTAGTACCCTGACACCATGTATTCCTTCAGCTTTTGATTACATTACTCTCTCTTCGTAACTCTGTAGTGGTCCCACCTTTACTTTCTAAGTCATAGAAACCTCTGGCCCTCTGTTAGGAGAGCCTGCTCATGGTGAGCTTTTTGGCATTTCATATCCCTGTTTTCCATTTTACCTCTACTCTGCTCTGTCTCGTGAAAACTATCCTTCATCTGAGCTTAGAAGGCCCATTCATTCACCTTTTCTTCTAAAACCCCTTAAGCGCACTAACGCCTGTTAGGTATGGGTATGGATTAAATAGTACTCAAAATGAATACAAGATATTGTGAAACGTAATATTTTTATTAGCTTTATTTCAGGCAAGCACATTTAACCAAATTGCAAATTATATCACTGTTAAAGTTAGACAGAAAATCCCACCAGATAAGACCGCTGAGGTTTGGTACAGTAGTTTGTCTTGATGGCCTCATGTATACAGTCACTATAGTCAGTATTGCACTTGCCACACTCACAGCTTAAAGCGACGGGATAAGAAAAATAGGGAGCAACATCAAGTGGGCATCCTGGTATTTCTACAGTCCTGTAGATGAAGTCTCTATATGTGCAAACATCCTGAGACAGAGCGTATTTGGGAAGAAACAGTTTGCCATTGATATCCTGAGGAAAGAACAAAAAAGAGACCATAATGTGACAGGACTTTAGGCAGCATATGGATCATGGAAACATAAAACTAAATTCACTTATATTCCTTCATCACAAATACAACTGGGAAAGAATTCCTTAGCCCCATTCTCCAATACTAGCTTAACCACGTTGAATCCTACAGAGCAAAAGAGACACCCTCCTCTCTTTTATCCTTGAACATGGGAACAAGATAAGGTTTAAGTAAATCTGGGACATAAAACTGTTACAAAATTATCTGTATCCATTGTGCTGAGTAGATCCACATAATATTGTAACCTGTGTACTCTGCTTCTAAGGAGCCAACAACCATCAGGTTTGGGAAATGAGGTTGTGATTTATTTCATTTTCTTTCTACATAAGAATGGACTTCTTCAAGGCTTATATAATTTGCAGCCAAAAGAAGTGACATGTACTACATACCCGTGTCATACAATATCCAGCACAGATGGTGGTGTTGATGGTTAGGCAGTAAGCACACTCTCTCCTTTCTACGTGCATTGTATACTCAGTTGGAATACAAAAAGACATCGCTTGCCCACATGCAAGGCCAAGAAGCATGGATATCAGAAAGACAGCAGCCATGCTAAATCAAAGATAAAATTAAACAACCTACTGGTTAAAATCAGAAAGAGCAAAGAAACCAAGATAAAGTATAACCAAACTTCAATACCATCCCAATGCATATATTCATGCTTATAATTCTACCCATTTGGTCGAGGAAGTCACCACAAAGATAAAGTCCAAACAAGGTCAACTAAAATCACCACTGGTGTTAAGGGGCTAACTCAGAAATCTAGGAACCCTCTGATTTTACTTCTGAACCCTTAGGATATCCTTTAAGGTTGAAATATGTATAGTTGGAACAAATAAAAGATTATTTTATACGAAAGAGGCATGTAATTTGTTCTCAAAAAGATTAACAGGCAAAAAAAAAAGAAAGGTTGACACAATGAGAAGAATACAATCAAAGATGACAGCTCCATTATGGGTTAGCCAGGAATATTAAATAATTTTTAGATGCATGAAAGAAAACAGAGGATTCATAGTGCTTCAGGGAGAAACAGAACATGAATCTCAATAGAGCTTGTGTGATGCAGAACTTGTTCAATATCAATTGGATATCATTATCAATATGTATTGATAGAATATAGTTATCCAGAGAGATAGTGATATCAATATCAACATCATTATCCCTGGATAACATTATGACAAATTATTTTAGTTCTACTACTGAGGAAGGGTCATCAAATTTCATACTTTTGGATGTAAGTTGATCACCTCAAAGATTAAGAAGATTTTTTCATCTTACAAATATTGTACAGCTAGCTAGATGTGTTTGGATTATTTTTTTCCGTCTCAAGTATCATTGTCAGTAAAGAAAATATATACCTTAACGGAGTAGTACTGTTGTCTGTGAACATAAACTTGTTTGCTTGTTCTATTAAATAAATTATAATTTACCAAACATTTTGTTCAATCATCAGAAGTACCAAGATTTCCCCAAATCTGTCAGTTATGTCCTAACAGCATCTTTAAGCTGTATACACTAAAACCTCTGTTAACTGAAGCCTCATAGGTTCAGCTTCGGTTAACCAGGATATTTTTTTTTCAGTCAACTTAAAAGAAACCATGAAAACCACATGACACAGGTTACCAGAGATTTATTTTAAATGTCAAATTCCAGAGATTAGTGGTCATTTCAACCAACCTTCTATTCCTAGAATAAGAATTGCAAATAAATTAGATAAACATATATTGAGCATCTGAACCAGGCACTGACAGAAACAAACAGGTAAGATATGGTCCTTTACCTAAAAGAATGAATGTTCAGTGGAGGAGCTAATGTGAACACAAATAATAAAAATACAAATTGTCCTATTACTCTGAAAGAGTCCAAATTACGACTTTAAGACCCATAATTATCAAAGATTTACGTTTACTTACTTCTTATTACACAAGAAAGTGAACTAACCCATTTTAGGATGACTTAACTTTTCAAAGTTAAAGTAAGAGGGGATTTTCTCACAAATTCTTTTAAATGAAATGTTGCATATTCAAACGTTCCTTTGAGGGCTTTTTGTTTTTGTTTGTTTGTCTTTGATTTTGTTTTGTTTTCTGTTTTTTTGGCATTTCAGTTAAGGAGCAAAAACATACAAATTCCTTACTCATGGAGTCTGGCTTTCTCAAGCGCTTCTCAAATGTGAGCTCCCTCTATGGTACAGGGTTGGTTCCAGTATTTTAGAGACACAGACCTTGAGGATCCTCTGCAGGATCTTAAAATTACTAACTAGCAAATTATGTAAAATACTTACCCATCATGATCATTATAGTTCTTGCTTGTTTAGACTGCCAGCTACTAAGTTTTTTCTATATGAAACAATTAACTTCACATATTTTAACTTTTAGCTCTGTAATTCTATATAAAATAGATATGGTGACCTGGTGATGAAAAAATTGATCTAAAAATTAAGAAACAGAGTTCTTCCATGAATCTGCGAGAATGTGATTAAAATATATAATCTATTTAGATCTTATTTCCCCATCTGCAAAATAGAAAGTGACAAGTACACCTGATGCTTTTTAAAATGTAGGATGAAAATTTTGTTTTGGTTTTCCTGTTATTGTCATACTCACTATGGATACTCTATATTTTTTGAAGTTTCTCCTATAAATGTAGAACTCTAAGCTAACAAAAGTATAAAATGAAAGGGCTAAATTACCAGCCACAGTAGCTGTACAACTTTGTGGGTGTAAAGAAAGCAAGAACTGTTCTTTCTCCTTTACTTCTTTATTGAAAATAATAAAACTTCACCCACAGACTCTTTCTGGACCTCAACTTTCTTATCTATACAAGAAAAGCTTAGAACTCGAAGATGATCATGAAAGTCTTTGCAGCACGAATAGTCTGTAATTCTGTACGATAAATTAGTGTCAGATCTCTGGTGCTAAGATTGATAAGAGTTAGTGATCTACATTCTACTTCAGGATTTAATTGCGGTTGTGTGCAACTGAGCAATTTAATATCTTTGTGCCTTCATTTTTTCATATGTCCTTTGCTAAAGTCATAAAAAGAACAATACATGTGAAACACCTGGTGCTCTACATAAGATCATGTAACTATATAACACTGCACGAATTAGCATTAGTTAATCCCTTTCTCTGTGATCTACCACAATTTCTTCTTTATTGCCATCTGGGTTCTCATCTTTGCAATTTAATTACCTATTCTGACATCATAATAAATAATTTATTGGCTACCTAAACATAGAAGGCATGGTTTCAGGCAGGGCCTAAATAATGAGATTCCTTCTTCAGATGCATGACCATATATGTCCCTACTTTCAACATATTTTCTTATTCCAAGAAATGTTCTTTCTTTTGCTCTTTTCCCCTCTTTCTCTTTCTCTTATTTTTGCTCCCAATGCTTCATTCTTAATAAACACCTTCCTCTCTGCTCTGCTAATTTCCTTCATTAGTTTTTACTCTCCAAATCCCTTACTATGAAAAGAACTTATTGCTCATCTATGAACAATCCTGGAACGTCACTAAAGCAGTATATTTTTCTAGAAAGCAAAATGTGCTATACAGCAGGTGTGTGTGTTGAACACTATCAAAGGAGGTTTAGCTATTAAATAGCTAAAAAGAGCTTATAATATTAGAGCACATTACCCCTGCAGGTACTCAAAAATGAATTTGCTCTAACATTTCCCAGAAGTATATTTTCATAAAAGATGACCATTAATACAGTAATTGAAAGGATTTAATACACCTATCATTAAATTGATAACAATATTTAAATCAAAATGAAAACAGAAGAAAGCCATGCATAGCAAATATCCTTCCTCAGGGAACTAACCAATTGTTTCTCTTTCTTTCAGTCAATAAATTTTTTTCTTATCCTTATGTATGTAGTTCACTCACCTTCACCTATTACTAAACAATTTAGAGCAATCATTTAAAATGTTAAAGCCTATTGAAGCAAATTATCTTTTAGCATTTGCCACTTTCTAATAAATGATAAAATTGTGAAAATGAAAAAAAAAACACTAAAGAACACTTCATTTCACAGAGCCTTTCCACTATAGACACCTACCTTACTTTGTATTGGTGAGCAGGTGCTGTGATGACCCAAACTAAAAGCTCTTGGTTCATTTTATACCCTTCAAGATAATCCCCTCTGATCTTCTTGTTTATGTAATTGTATTTGATTTACTGCTTTCTTATCTGAAAAACATCTATTGAAAATTCATACTGAACTCCAAATAAAATTTATTTAGACAAACAAGCTTACAATATCTTCCCCTGTAAACTCTGACATTACTGAAACACGCATTTTCCTTTCTCCTGTTTCAAAATAAAATTACTCTTTTAAATATATTCCTTATTAATATTTATTTATTAATATTAATAAAAGTTAAATACAGAATGGGAAATACCAACTTAAAAAAATACTCATCATCTAAGTAAGTCTTGGGAATAAAAATTTATCTGGGGCTTGAACGCTCCAAGTTTTACCTAAGTGTTCATGTAAAGATACATACAATTACTCCTCCTCTAAAAATCAAAGGCAACTTTTATATATAAATCCAGAGCAAATGGCATCTGTTGCCATTTAGAACAAAATGTTTAGTTCAAAATATTTTATTGTTTTTTATTTTGATTTTTAAGATATTAAGTAAAATTTACACATGTGAAAGAATGAGTATCTGAGGAACATGGCCACATCTGACAGGATGTCAAGCTGACCTGGATAAAATTTTGACCCTGCCATTTACTTGCTATATGACATCGACATGCTTGACTTCTCTTTACTGCAGTTTCTATTAAAAGGTAGTATCACTTCTCTAATGATTCATGGTGCTGAGCATTTTTTCATATGCTTGTTGGCCACATATATATCTTCTTTCAAAAAGTGTCTGTTCATGACCTTTGCCCACTTTTTAAGAGGGTTCTTTGGCTTTTGCTTATACATTTGTTTAAGTTCCTTATAGATTCCGGTTATTAGGCCTTTGTCAAATGCACAGTTTGCAAATATTTTCTCCCATTCTAGAGATTGTGTGTTTATTCTGTTGATATTTTATTTTGCTGTTACATCAGGTAACAAAAGTACATGATCCTAGAGAGATGGGCAACAAACAGGGAGAAACTGCCTGGAGAAAGTTTCTGGGTCATAATGCAGATGCTCTTTAGTTAAGGGTCCCATTTGTCAATTTTTATTTCTGATGCAATTTCTTTTGTCGTTTTGTCATGAAAATCTTTGCCTGATCCTATATCCAGAATGATATTTCCGAGGTTATCCTCCAGGAATTTTTATACTTTTAGATTTTACATTTAAGTCTTAATCCATCTTGAATTGATTTTTCTATATGGTGTAGGGAAGGGATCCAGTTCAGTCTTCTGCATGTGGCCAGCCAGTTATCTCAGCACCATTTATTGAATAGGAAATCCTTTCCCATTGCTTGTTTCTGTCAGTTTAATTGAGCAAAGAACAACTGTCAAGTCAGGCAGCCCTTAGAATCAGCAGATTCACAGAGCTCTGCTCCTCAGTGTGGGAAGGCAGCATTTATGGACAGAAAGTAGAAA